CAAAGGGCTGTCAAGAAAAAGAAGCCAAGAGTGATTTCCCACTGCAGTGATTTCGTGGGTGCACATGTACCTTTATCTAGAGATTGGTGAGCATGTACTTTTATCTCTGCAGACAATACACTTGAGGATCAAGGCCACAGTCCTTGAATCCTCCTGCACCAGGCAGGCCAGAGCTGGGCACAAAGTAGACCTTTCTCCACTTAGGAACTTCAGATCCAGTGTTGTGACACAATAAACCAGACATCATGGAAGCTATTTTCCATCCAACTCCTACCCGCCCCCCCCCCACCCATTTTATGCCAGTGAACAAAGGTGACAGAAAAGCTTAAAGGAAAAAAGAAATTTTTTCGTTTGACATGAACCAGGTGTTAAAATGAGAACTCTTGTCCTTTGTCACTCATGGTGCCTGTTGACATTCTTGGCTTTCTTCTACGTTAGAGATCCACTTTATGTATAGAGGTAGGTGGAAGGAAAAAAAAATTCAGAGAACACGTGTGGAGAATATGTTGTAGAAAACGAAGAGCAATCAGACATCTGATCTACATTGAAGATGCCTATAGTTGAGTTGGAGCAACAGATGAGCAAATGAGCGGTTGTGTACAGAATAAATGTGATGACAGAACATGCAAAGGAGGCTCAGAGGAAGGACATCTAAGTTGAAATGTGGGCTTCGGAAAAGGTTCCGGAAGGAAGTAAAAGAAAGAACATGGCCCTATAGACAACGTCAGATGAACATGAAGGGGGACAGGGGAAAGACTGAGGCCAGAGCAAGACTCTGCTTGCATGCCATGCGCTACAACCTGTCCTGACCCATCAGCATTATTGTAAGTTTTTAGGAGGGCAGTGGCAAGTCCAGAGAGCTGACTGATATTCTAGAAAATCCTCTGCCCATAAAGTGGAGGAGGGGTTGAAAGGGAGGCTGGGTGGGGGAGGGGGGTCTATGTTCCAAGAAGTGAAAGAAATAATGAGGTTTGGATTTGAGTATGTTGATAGAACCATCTAAGAGAGGTTAGGCAAGAGGTTCTCCAGGACCGGGTTACTAGTTGCATGTGGGGTGTGAGGATGCGCAGATTTCCAGCTCAGAGACTGGATGGATGGGTAGGACTGCCAGGCAAGGGGATAAAGAACATGGGAGGAGTCAGCCTGGAAAGGATATCAGAAAAGCAAACTCATTGCTGACTCATAGTTGACCCCTGTGGTTTTCCGGGGATTGTAACTGTTTATGGGAGTAGAAAGCCGTCTTTCTGGAGGAGCTGCTGGTGGTTTCAAACTGCCGACCATATGGATTGCAGCCCAACATGTAAACACTGAACTACCATAAAGCTCAGAGGATAGGCATCTACTAAGTTTCAGAAAGTGTGAGCCCTTGTTTTACTGCTATGACCCAGGAGCCCTGGTGGTGTGGTGGTTATGTATTGAGCAACAATCCAAAGGCCCAGCGTTTGAAACCACCAGCTGCTCTGTGGGAGAAAAATGGGGCTCTGTACTTTCATAAACAGTTACTCACATGGGCAGTTCTACCCTGTCCTATTATAGGGTTGCTATGAGTTGGTACCAGCTTGATGGCATTGAGTTTGAGGTTTTTGCTTTTCTAGCTCTGTGACCATGAATAAACCACTTCACCTCTCTAGTATTAGGAGACTTTGTATGTAATTGTACAGGCAGGTTGCACAGGTTTAATTTATATCAAAGTGCTCTGCAAGTTTGAAAAGGCTGTTCAATTGCTATTTATTGCATACCTAGGCCACACAGATTGCTGCTCATATGGAAGTGATTCTAAGTGTGTTAAAAGGCAGCAGTGCTCAGATATCTCCTACCTCTACCCCCTTCATCTCCAACAGAGTCCTATTTTATACCTTCCTAAAGATATGGGCCAGGTCTTGGGAAGTTTAAATCTAGCTTCTCACCAGTGCCTGGTACATTATAGGCTTCCAGTAGATGCTGTGCCACTGAATCATTTTACTTCAGAATCATCTTGTTTTGAATAACAACTTTATTGAGTTATAGTTCACATATCATACAATTCACCAATTTAAACTGCACAATGGTATGCATTTTTAGGACATTTTCAGCACCTGCCCAAACCAGCAGCCTCCCTCCTTCCTTGCACTCCTTCAGGCATCTTTGAGTTTCAGAGAAGCTCTTTCTCCACACACCCGCGCGCGCACACACACACACACACACACTTGCTGTTGCCGGTAGCTATCAAATTGATTCCAATTCATGGTGACTCCACATGTGCTGAGACAGCTCCACAGGGCTTTCTAGGCTGGGACTTTTTGGAAAAAGATCACCAGGCCTGTCTTCTGAGGGACCATGTTGTTAAGGTTTAACCCATGCTGTGGCATGAATCACTATCACTATTCCAGTCCTCGTTGTTGATTAGTATTCCATTAGCTGGTGGTGTTGTTGTTATGTACCATTGAGTCAGTTCCGACTCATAGTGACTCTGCACAATAGAATGAAACACTGCACAGTCCTGCACCATACACTACTTTGATGGATATACTACATTTATTTATCTGTTCATCAGTAATGGCAAGAGTTCATCCAAAAGGAAACAAAAAACTATCACATCTGTATGGCTTAGAACATGGAACACAAGAACATTTGATGTGGAAGAGGGGGGACAATAGTTAGAATATGAGTTATTCTCCTCACTTTTTTCTTTGTCTTCTCTCCCTCTCCTAAAAGATGATCGATCAAGGAGGGGAGTCAAGGTCATTAACTTTAGGAGGCCTTCTCAGTCCCATCAGCCTGGTGGCTTATGTAAACCTCTAGGCTATAATTAAATATCACCTCAGCAGGCTATTCTGACCCGAAGGTGGTAGAATTTTAGTTCTATAGATACAGCTATCTACAGAATCTTGAATTTACTTTCATTTACACTATTTTTTTGCATTAGGTAAATCTGCTCCACAAGACCTCTTTAAAGTGTTAAAGAGCAAGGCTGTCTCTTTGAAGACTAAGGTGCTCTTGACCCAAGCCACTGCATTTTCTGTCACCTAACTACACTCACTTAAAGAGTAAAAGGTAGTACTACCCTCCCAGCCATGTGGCCTATTTTTACATTTCAAAGGATTCCACAGCTGAAGGGAACCAATCATCAACTCCCTGCCATTCCTTTGTTTTTTAAGCACAAAACCCTTCAACTAGATGGACAGCTGAGTGCTTTGTATTTCTTACTTAGCGCTGCATAGCTGGAGCTGTATATATTCAATAAAATGTCTTTTCTTTCACTGGTCACAAAATACGAGATTTTCTTCATTGACCCTTGCTTGAAATTTCATGAAGCAAATAACATAAATGAATTGCAAAGTTCTAAGAACTCCAGCTCCATGCAACACCTCAATAGCATTCCACTCCTGGGTCTCCATCCTTGACCTGCCCAAACCAGCAGCCTCCCTCCTTCCTTGCACTCCTTCAGGCATCTTTGAGTTTCAGAGAAGCTTGTCATCAATTGTCAAGATACTTAGAAACTTCATAGAATCCACTGAAGGGGCATTCACTTTTCCTTGCAGATGCACAAACATAACATGTGAATCAGTATTTTCTACTCCCCCCCCCCTCTCATTTCCAGTTCTTTCCTCCTCCATCTCCTAGCAGTTTTTATACAGTCTTTCATTACCACATTCCTGGCGTTTGGAATTTAAATAGGGGCTCAGCTCCCAGACAGTTGTGAATTCAAATCCTACACTAGTCTGGGAAGACCGAAGAAGAATTGATGCGTTTGAATTGTGGTACTGGTGAAGAATATTGAAAGTACCATGGACTGCTAAAAGGACAAACAAGCCTGTCTTGGAAAAAGGACAGCCAACATGCTCTGTAGAGGCCAGGATGGTGCGATTTCATCACATGTATTTTGGATAGATTGTCAGGAGAGACCAGTCCCTGGAGAAGGATGCCATCACATCATGCACTTGTACACAGATCAAGAGGAAGTTGTGAACAGAACAAGGGCATAGTGCACGGTTTAAATTAGGAAAAGTGTGCGCCAGTGTTGTATGTTCCTTCCACACATATTCAATCTGTATGCTGAGCAAATCATCAAAGAAGCTGGATTATATGAAGAAGAATGTGGCATCATGATTGGAGGAAGGGTTATTATGGTAACCATCTTTGCTATGTAGGCAACACAACCTTGCTTGCTGAAAATGTGGAGGACTTGAGGCACTTGCTGATGAAGATCAAGGATTGCAGTCTTCAGGATGGATCACAACACAGTGTCAAGACCCAAATCCTCACAACTGGACCAACCAGTAACATCACCATACATAAAGGAAAGACTGAAATTGTCAAAGATTTTGTCTTGCTTGGATCCACAATTAATGTTCGTGGAAGCAGCGGTCAAGAGATCAAAAGTGTGTTGCACCGGGTACATCTGCTGCACAAGACTTCTTTAGTGTTCAAAAGCAAGGATATTACTTTGAGTATTAAGAGGCTCCTGACAGAAGCCCTGGTATTTTCAATTGCCTCATATGAATATGAAAGTTAGACACTGAATAAGGAAGACCGAAGAGTTGATGCGTTTGAATTGTGCTGGATAAGATACTGAAAAGTACCGTGTACAAACACACCTGTCTTGGATGAAGTCCGGCCAGAGTGCACCTTAGAGGCAAGGATGGCCAGACTTCGTCTCACGTACTTTGTGCGTAGTTGTCAGGAGGGCGCAGCCCCTGGCGAAGGATGACATGCTTGGTAAAGTGGAGGGACAGCAAAAGAGAGCAAGGCCCTAAACGAGCTGGAATGACAGAGTGGCTGCCACAACGGACTCAAGGATAGGAACAACTGGGAGGACGACGCAAGCCAGGGCAGCGCTTGGTTCAGGAGTCGAACTGACTCGACGGCATATAACTTGTCTCTGGGCCTTGGTTTCCCATTTGCCAAGCACAGTTTAAAATACCTATCTTGTAAAGTCGTTGCAAGGATAGGCATCAAGTAAGTGCCTAGTACCTGGTTGGTACTTAAAAGACCCAGGATTACCAGAGGACAGGGCTTACCCTTTCCGGAGGCTCTGGTTCTTTAAGGCGGCTTCGCGCTCGCCGCCCGCGCAAGGCTTCCCACCCCTCCCTCGGGCCGGGGGCGGGGCCTTCTAACCCGGAAGTGAAGCCCGCGCGTAGCCGGCGCCGCCTAGCTGCGTCCCGGAAGGAGCGAACCAGCTAAGCGGAGCGAGTGAGTGAAAAGGGCGCCGCCCGGTGGCGGCGGACGCGTCTGACGGCGGGTGTCCCCTGTCGCCTCCTCCCCTCGTTTCCCCCAAAGACGGATCCGGAGCAGCGTGTAACTGTTGTGCCTCCTTGCACGTCTGTTACCTAATAGGGCCTCCCGATGGCCTGCCGCCGCCCGCGCCCCTACGTGGCCTGGGTGCGTCGTGCTTCCACACTGGCCCCCAGCGGCGCCCACACAGTCTAGCCTCCCTGTTTCGGTCCCCGGCCCCCGCCCCGGCCCCGTCTCCCCGCCGGAGCGGTCACCGCCAATCCCGCCGTTCCTCCGTGGCCACCGCGGCCGGCACTATGGGCAGTGAGCAGAGCTCCGAGGCCGAGAGCCGACCCAACGATCTGAACTCCTCAGGTCGGTGTCCTAACCTACCACCCTCCTCCAGCCGGCCTTGTCCGCTTGGGGAGCGGACCGCCACCCAGCCTAGAGGGGTCTGGGGCTGGTGGACGGGAGCGCACGGAAAACCCTCCCCTCCAAAAAAGGTTACTAGTTTTCTAAACTTAATGTTTCTGATGGGAGTGGGTCCCTGTGACAGCAAGCTCAGTCATTCTGGGCGCACATGCTCACTGTTTCCCTGCTAACTCACTCCCTGAGAGACTTGACCTCATTTATTTTGGGTGTTAGTACGCTCTACGAAGATAGTGAGATCTGGCTCACACAGTGACTGGGTTATGGCCCAGACCTCTAAGAATACCTTTTAAGAATTACAGGCAGAAAAGTCTCAGGGGTATTTTTTAAAATTAAAAGTATTTTGAGAAAGGATGTATCATTTGATAGGTGTATCATCACTTTGAACCCTTGGCTTGAAGGTGTAGCCCTCCCAGAAACAATTTCTCAGATGGTATCTCAGTTCCCCTTTCACTGCCCAGTCTGCAGGCTCTGGCGTTTCCCTCTGTTCTTCCCTGTGCATTTTAAGAGTTTGTCAGTATTTGAAATAGAAGCGCCTGGAACACAGTGAGTGATCACTACATAAAACAGCTGGTGCTCAGCTGAGGCCCAGCTTTGTTTCAGTTACTCAAACACCCCTGACAACCAAGAGTGTCTGCACCTGCCAATCCAAACCGAGTTAAATCTGGGCCTAAAAAGTGCCCCTGCACCCCTGAACTAATCAGTCCTCTTAAACTAGAAATATACAAGTTAGTGGATTGATGTGCAGCCCACACTGAGAGATGTTCTTCAGGATTAATTGAGACTTGCATTCTGGGGTCTAGATGGGCACATTAATGGTTAGCACAGCACTGATTAGCTTTCCACAATGCCAGATCTGTGTATCAACTACAGTTGTCATTATTATCTATTGCTTTCTTGTCTCTTGTCAGGCCAGAAGCCAGGAAGAGGTGTGGCATCTTCTTAATATGTTTGCTTCCACACCTACCTACAGCACAGACTCAATCCTGATAATAGAATTGGCCGATTTTTCATGTACATTTACATTTAGTCCACCCAGTAACCTCATTATACTGAAAAGGTAGAGGCTAGGAAGTAATGAAGTTGGCTTTTGTCTGCTTTAGGGTGGAAGGGAATCACAATTAGTATCAGGAAAGTTTCTATAGAACCTTACATCAGTTACCTGAAGAGTTAAGTCTTCATGAAGAACAGTGGAAATAGCAGAGATGCTAAATGAACAAATGCCAAGCCCTAGGAGAGGCAGTTCTACGGTATCTCTGGATGGGCCTTTGAGGCATGACAATGAAGACAATGAATACTAACTTCTAGAGTGTAAAGCCCTGTGCCTCAACCAGGGAGATAGTTGGAGAGAGGAGGATGCTTGGTTTTAGGAATCCTTTTAGTTTGAATCACTTCCCTCCTAAGGGATTACAATCTCTCAGGGGAATGTGAATTTGACCTGCTTCTCCAGCAGTCCTCCAAATTTCTGAATTTTGCCTATGCTTAGAATGGACTTGGTGGTTATTTCCACTCACCTTGGACTAATGTCTGTAAGTTTGATCTTGAGAGGAATGGACTCATCATTTGGGGTGATTCCCCCCTATGACAAAGCTCTAGAAGGCCCAGCTGGCCTGAGAGAGTGCTGTTAAACAGCTTTGCAAGCCTGGTGTCAGGGAGGGGTTCTGTGTACCACAGTCCTTCCTTTCCTTTCCCAAGTCTCTTTCTAGCACTGCAGACCTTTGATAAGTCACAGCTGAGCTTTGTCATCCGTTAAGTGAGACACATGTTAGGAGAATCAATGAAGACATGTTAAGACTTTGATGTAAATAACATTTTTAATTCTGAAGCTATTCCATATGTGTTTTAGGTTTGAGCTCTTTAAAATACCATGGAAATGTAAGGGGTTCCCTATTTCACCCCGCCTTAGCCCCCACTGCAAGATAACTTTGGTTTTCATTTTGAGTGAAAACATCCTAATGACTGGACAGAAACCGGCTTGGTGAGGGAAGGCAGCCAGTTAGCATGCACCTCCTGAGCAGTGTTACTTTATTCTCAGTGACTCCTTCTCCAGCGAAGCACAGAGCCAGGATGGATGATATTGTGGTGGTAGCTCCAGGCTCCCAGGCCTCACGGAATGTCAGCAACGACCCTGATGTCATCAAGTTACAAGAGATTCCAACCTTCCAGCCACTTTTGAAAGGTAAGGGGTTGTATTTGGCCTTATGTTAAATGGAGGTTTTTCAGAGTCCACTTCTCCCAGATATCCCTGCGTGAGCACCTGACTCCCTCATCTCCTGTAGGCCTTTGCTGCCTTGGCTTCTTTTCAATGGAGCAATCTTTTCAGCCCATGTAAAATTGCAGCCTTTCCCCCGGCCTACTTTTCTCTCTAGCACATAATCGTTGGTTCATTGGCTCTATCTAACCACTGAATCGCCAGCGGTCTCCTGCAGTGTGTTTGCTTCCTGTCTGCATTTCTCTGGTAGACCATGAGCTCCGTGACTGTGCTTTGCTCCCCATTGGATTACATGCCCTCAGAATAGAGTCTGGTACAAAGTCAGGACTGAGGGAATGCGTGTTCTTGGCATTGGTCCTCACCTTTATCCACAAAACTTGTATGTGATCTGGACCATGTGCTGACCAGTTATAATTTTACCATGGCCACTGGTAAGATTATAATTATTCCTAACAACTATCTTAAATGAGGGGAAGATGTATGGTTCGGTGCATATAGTCAGCCCATCTGGTTAGCATCGGACAGCCATGGTTTTCTTATGTCCATAACTGTTCAGCACTCGAGCTGGTTTTCTGTGAGTGGAGTAGGCTTTCTGCTGTAGTAGAAGCCCTCACTTTCCCTTTCCCCCCTTTCCCCAGATTGAAACTAAACAAAACACTTCTCTAAGGTTGATTCTGCCTCTGAGACTTAATCGTGCCCCATAGAGTTTCCATGAGTGTAAATCTCTACAGAAGCAGACTGCCTTATCTTCCTCAGAGAAGCAGACTAGTGGGTTTAAACTACCAACCTTTCCATTAGCTGTTGAGTATTTAACCACTGAACCACCAATCCTTCTCCAAGATTAAAACCAGAAAACCCACTACCGTCGAGTCGATTCAGATTCATAGCAACCTCATAGGACAGAGTAGACCTGCTCTCGTAGGTAAGGTGACCAGATGTCC